CTCATTCTAATCACAATTGTTCAACTAATACAATTGAATCTTAAAATAGAAAGTGGAAATCAGATCTGAAAAGACTCCCTATTTAGCTCCATGAACTCATGTTAGCTTCATTGCTAGGAGAACTTGAGAATTCAGCCACTCATGCCTTGATTTGTAATAGAATCAGCAAGAATCAATAGAAGATCCATGAAGAATCAGTGGAAGGTGAAGGATTTGGGCGAAAATAGAGGAGAGAATTGGAAGAAGGCAGAGAAAACAAGAGAACCGACAATCTGGAGGTGGGAGAATTGAATGAACTGTTCCCCTGGACAAGTATGCGACTTTTGTATTTAAATTTGAAAATTTTTGTCATCTGCTGTGACGCCTTCTATTATCCGTTGTGGCACCAAGCCAAAACAGTGTCATTTCAATTAGTGATTCTAAGCTCTCCATTAAATTGCATCCGTCGTGGCACTTTCTATTATCCGTCTTGGCGCCTATTATCGAAAGTTCTTTTGCAAATCCACCGTAGCACCTTCTGTGACATGCCATCATGCCTCAGACAAAATGTGAAAATGCTAGTAAAGCTCCCAGAAATTCACACCAAACAAGGATTTAAAGTACACACAAATAAAATCACATAAAATCATGCAAAAACACAAACAAAACCTTACAACTCCCTTAACCATTTCTTATGTACAATGAAAGCTAATTATGCCCAAAATATGCAAATATAAATGGCAAAAGCATAATTTTAGGACTAGAAATAAATACAAATAATGAGGCTTATCAGCAAGGAAATTATCTTGGGAGAAAACTGACCTTGTTGCCCTTTAAATTTATGTGAATTATATCGGATTATTGTAATAATGACCAAAGATGCTATACATGTGGATATTTGATTAAGAAATTATGTTTTAGCATGTGATATGAGAATGAAATGGTCTTACGAGGTTAAAAGAGGAGAAAAGTAAGAAAAAACATTGAAAAAGGGATAAAATAACCCTAATAATACCTCATGTTCACACCAATGAAATTCTGATTAAATCGTTGATATTCTGGCTAAAACTTGGTAGAATTATATATATACATCATATTTTTATCTTTAAAATAAGTGGTATTTCATCAAATTTAGAGTTTTGTACAAAAAGTTATGCCTATCCAAAATTAGGCATAAATTTTGAAAAATTAGAAAATTATCATATGAACAGTACCACTTTGCATTAATTATGGGATTAATTGATGAGGATTTTTACCAGATAGTATTTTTCCTCTAAATATTACATTAAGAGATTTTAAATAAAACTTGGAACCACCTCATTTCAATTTTTTAGAATTAATTATGATTTTTTCAAAATTTAGCCTTGATTAGGGTTATATAAATAGTAACCCGAGTTTAATGAATTTTAAATTTTATATTTTTCCAACCTAAGGTCATAGGAAATGGTTCCAAGTGATTCTAATTGAGATATAATGTGGTTTAAAAGTAATGTGTGACAACATCCCCATCCTAATATTAGCTTCCATGCTGTTCATGCTTTTTAGCAAGAGAGCCATATCATCACTTCTTGAATTACCAACTTCTTGAGTAGTTTGGGAGGGAACTATAGGTTGTTCAGAATGTTAACATTGTTGGAACTTGTTTTGCAAAAACCTTTCTTTGTTATTCTTTCCTCCTCCCCATCTAAGATTGGATAGTCCTTCCATCCCTTATTATAAGTGTTGGAGAAGGGGTTTCTCTGTTGATATTGATTTGATCTTTACTAGTACATAGCTACTACTTCTTCAAATTGAGAAGGGCAAGATTCAGTCCAATACATCATAGAACCACAAAAAGTCACAACAGGGAGCTACCAAGTCATGTGATATTCCAACAGCACCATATTGCTTACTTGACAAGAGCTGCTCTATCCTAGTCATTCTCTTGTCCATTTTTTCTGACAAGGTAGCAAATTGAGAATCAAAGTTACTAGATCTTGACCTCAAGATCTCATTAACAGATTGAGTATCCCTTGTGCTAAATTGTTGGTTGTTGTTAGCCATTTTCTCTAATAATTCCCAAGTATTATGAGGAGTCAAATTGTCACACCTCTCTTTACAACCCATTATACATCAATTGGAACCATTATAATGTGTTTCGCAGTGTTTCCAGATGAAAATCTTCAACTTTAAAATGTTACCTTTAATTCTATTTGTACACTGTTCATCCGAAAATAGGCTAACTTTGAAAATTCATAACTAATTCTAGAAAAATCAAAACGAGGAGGTTCTAATTTTCACACGAAGCTTGCTAAGAGTTCTATAGAGGGAAAAAATCATTGGGCTCAGTTCCATCCAAAACTGCACCAGAAAAATTGACAAGATGCACTATTCATATGGTCAATTTTTCAATTTTTAGTATTTTTTTCCCCAACTTTGGAAGGGCATAACTCTTAGCACAAAATTCCAAATTTGATGGTTTACCACTTGATTTAAAGATAAAAATTATATCTATAAGTCTATAAAAGTTCATGCCCAAATTCCAACAACTACTCATTATTTCTTGTGCCACAAGTTTGGCCTCTTTTAGGGAGTTTTTATCCCCTAACTCTATTTCTTTTATTTCTTTTCTCTTTTTCCTTTTTCCTACACTATTTTAACATTACACCATTCAGAATTCTAGCATTTGAGCATGTCATATAAACATAATTATATCATAATATCATCTATAATCCACTACAAACTTGGCATAAAGTTAGATAATACATCACATAATATTCCAAAACAATATGACATTCACAAAGCTCTTCTATCCCAACACCAATTCCTTGCCTTGATCCATGGTTGAGCCACTTCCTAAATGAGACATAATTTAACATAGGGGAATGAGATTTCTATGAAATCTCAGTAGCATTTGAATTACAATTATCATGCAAATCAAGCAAGTTATCATGTGACATGTTATCATACCTCAAGGCATAATCAACCACATAAAATCATGTATAATCCCATGATAAAAGAGGAATATCAGCATTTCCACAATGGCATAATTCAACACATTTGGCCAAAGCCTAAATCAATGTTGTTCAACCAATCCATGCCACAACACAAGTTCCTCCATTCAAGCAAACAACAAATCACATTAAACAAGCAAGATTAACAATCAAATTATAATTCAAAGCTACCTTTTTAATACTTGTCCAATTGATTACTTCAAGAATAAAGCTTCCTCTTGGTTCCTCCTCACAATGCCTATTAAACCAAGCATAAACATAGGCCACATTAATCACTAATCACTAAATTACAATTCTTAAACTTTAAACTCAATAATTTCCCCTTTTTCTTTGATTTTTAATCATATGATTCCTCCTTTAGAATCAATAACCTCATTGCTCAATCCTACAAAATTTTTCATGAGGAATCCAATGGTACAATCAGATTTTTAAAATTCAAACTCCTCCCCCATGAAAATTCTAGACGAATAAGGGGTATTTATTTTCAAAAATTCTATTTTTGATTCCAATGATTTTAAACACTTTCCAACAACATATCCCTACACAAAAACATGTTTTAAAGCCATTGGAATCATCAAATCAAGCTAAAACAATCAGCTCCTGCATGAACAGTGCTGATCGAAATTCCTCCCCTTAAACCCTAACTTTGATTTCATCCAAAAATCTCTCCATACACCACTTAATCTTCCTTATTCCACTTGATTATTAAGGTTTCTATCCTTTCCCAAGTATCACCAAGCCCAACAAAATTTTGGCAGCATTTTCCTTAATTTTTCAAGCTAAAAACCTCAACTAGCCAAGCTTAAAACTTAGGAATAGGAAGGCATAAGCATACCTTAATATTTTCTTGGTGCAAGTTGAATGATTCCTTGTCTAAAACCCTTAAGATTTTTGGTTGATGAGTGCTGAAAACAAAGTAATAGAACCTCCCCTTGTTTTTTTTTATTTTCCAACATTTTTTTTGTATTTTAGGAGGGGATATTTATAGAAAATCTGATCTGCCCCTCCCCTCCCTTAATTGGCCAAAATTTGGGACACCTCAAGGGTGTATGTCGCAGTCATGAAGTGCCAAAATAATCAGATCATCACAAGTGGCCTTAATCTAGATTATTTCACACAAATATCCCTTAATTTCATATTTATTTTGATAAAAATAGAGGGACTTGGAAATGGCACAAAATTGGGCCCTTATTAGGCTCAATGTGGGTCCCACAAATGGTTTGGTCTGGTCTAAAAAGCTGGCCCACAAACCAAATCGCTATCTCAAACCAATTTGAAACTTTATCAGTTACTATTCACTAGTAACATTCCATAATTTTTCCAAACCTCCAAATATTCGTTTCTCTCCATGATTATTTACCTTTTAATATGGGAAAATGATCTGAAAAATTTCAAAATTTTTTGCCACCTCTAGGTATTTGTTTTGAATTTTCTCTGATTAGGACTTTATCGGTGTCTCTATGGGAAAATAAGTTCCCTAAAATTTATTCCTGAGCTTCCAAGGCCCAAAACTAATTTTCTAAATTCAAATAAATATTTAGATAAATTATCCATCTTTCTCCCAAGTTTATTGAGGCCTCCAACTACTTAAAATAATTATTTCCTTCAATTTCCCAATAATATCTAGAAAACCTCCTTTTACGGGAAATTCCATAATAATTTGCTTTCACCATAAATTTACCTTTCAGATCTCAACTAAATTTCCAAAACTTCTAATTTATACTTTTCCCATTTTTTTGGGAATTTTTTAGAATGTTTCTCAAATTTTCCCGTTTTGTCCTTCCTAGACCGATCATTACTAAAAGGCCAACCCGGACTTTATCGGGGTTTCACATCAAAAGTTATTCAGTCTTCCTGTCTAGTTCCTTCATTGACCCTAATCCCAATTTTTAATCCCTTATAGCTAGGTGAAAATTTTTGGGATATGACAATTCCTTCTCCCTTTAAATAAATTTCGTCCTCGAAATTTAAAAGCATACCTTAATTAAACAATTCTAGGTATCTGGCCTTCATGTCATCCTCCTTTTCCTATGTAACTTCTTCTTGAGTTAGATCCCTCGAGATGACTTTAACCAGCAAAATAGTTTTATTCCACAGCTGCTTAATTTGCCGGTCTATCATTTTCATTAGTTTCACCTCAAAGGTGAGGTTATCTCGCAGCTCTATGTCTTTATATTTCAAGACATACGAGGGATCTGGCTGATACTTCTTCAACTGAGAGACATGGAAGACGTCATGAATCTGGCTCAGATTAGGGGGTAGGGCCAAATTGTAAGCTACTGGGCCAAATCTTGACAAAAATTGGAAAGGTCCAATAAACTTTGATGCCAATTTACAGGCCTTGATTAATCTCCCTACACTCGTAGTTAGAGAAACTTTCAAAAAAACATGATCTCTAACCTCAAACTCTAGAGGCCTTCTCTGTACGTTGGCGTAACTCTTCTGTCTACTTTGTGCTGTAAGCAACCTCTGGCGGATCATCTTTATTTGTTATGGGGTTTGCTCTACCAAGTCAGGACCAAATATCTTCCTTTCTCCTAATTCGGTCCAACATAATGGGGATTTATATTTTCTCCCATACAAAGCTTCATAAGGAGCCATCTGGATACCGGAATGATAACTGTTGTTATGGGCGAACTCTACTAATGGTAAGTGTTCATACCAGTTCCCTTTGAAATCTAGGACACAAGCTCTTAGCATATCCTCTAATGTTTGTATCGTACGTTCTGTTTGCCCATCAGTTTGAGGGTGATAAGCTATACTGAAACTCAGCTTAGTGTCCATGGCTTCCTGTAATGCTTTCCAAAATCTAGAGAGAAATCTCAGGTCCCTATCAGAGACAATCGTTTCAAGCACTCCGTGCAACCTTAAAACTTCCCAGACGTATATCCGCGCCAACTTTTCTGGTCAGTATTCTCCTTGGTGGCCAAAAAAAGAGTTGACTTCGTTGGGCAATCCACAATCACCTAGATCGCATCATAACCTGATGACGTATGAGGTAGTCCCATTACAAAATCCATAGAAATGCTTTCCCATTTCCATTCCAGAATACTCAATGGTTGCGAGGATCCTGATGGCTTTTGGTGCTTTGCCTTTACTTTTTGATAAGTGAGGTGTAACACCTTAAGTTTATACCAATTAACTTGCCTTGCAGAAGCATTTGGAATCACTTTTGAAGACTACAAGTTATGAAAAATCACGTTTGAAACTTTATATGACCCTTAAGTATGAGAAAAGGCTTAAAAATTTGAAAATTTTTCATTTTCCCAGTCCAGACATGACTTAGTGCTTCCAGGTCGTGACTTGAGGTCACAGAGGTAGTTTTGCCTCCAGGTTGTGACCTCAACTTCTCAGGTTACGACCTCAAGTCATAGAATGCTTCTGCATACTATTCACATTTCACTAAAATCTTTGTCAACTTTAAAAATTCATAACTAATTGTAGAAAAATCAAAATTGAGTGATTTTAAGTTCTATAGAAAGCTCTTTGGATAAACTTTTGAGAAAAATAGTTTCTGGACTAGTTGCCTTTAAATTCAAGCTCAGTTTTTTTTGAAAACCTTACTGTTTATTTGGTCATCTTTGGATTTTTACCTTGCCTTTACCTAACTTTGAAAAGACATAACTTTCTGCTCGGTTATCAGAATCAGGCAAGCTACCCCTCATTTTAAAGAGAAAAATTAGATTTCTTTACTTTCCAAATTTCATAACCTAACTCACTCGTTTGCTCAAATGGTCGCGGGTTAAACTTTGATCCATTTTAGTTGACATTTTAGCCCCTGGAAGGGTAACTTAACTTAATTGCCCATTCCATCATAACATACTCTTATTAGCTATATTAGCTATTTCTAATCATGCTTGTTGTAACATCTTAAGTTTATACCAATTAACTTACCTTGTGAAAGCATTTGGAATCACTTTTGAAGACTACAAGTTATGAAAAATCACATTTGAAAATTTTTATGACCCTTAAGTGTGAGAAAAGGCTTAAAAATTTGAAATTTTTTCATTTTCTCAGTTCAGGTCACGACTTGAGGTCACAGAATGCTTTTGCGCACTATTCACATTTCATTGAAATCTTTGCTAAATTTCAAAATTCATAACTAATTGTACAAAAATCAAAATCAAGTGATTCTAAGTTCTATGGAAAGCTCTTTGGATAAAATTTTGAAGAAAAATAGTTTCTAGACTAGTTGTCTTGAAATTTAAGCCCATTTTTCTTTGAAAACCTTACTGTTTATTTCGTCATCTTTGGATTTTTACCTTGCCTAATTTTAGAAAGGCATAACTTTCTGCTTGGTTATCGAAATCAGGAAAACTATCTTCATTTCAAAGAGAAAAATCATATCTCTTTGCTCACCAAATTTCATCATCTAACTCACTCATTTGCTCAAATGGTCGTGGGTCAAACTTTGGTCCATTTTAGTTGACATTTTAACCCCCTGGAAGGGTAACTTAACTTAATTGACTATTTACCATCATAACATAATCTCATTAGCTATATTAGCTATTTCTAATCATGCTTGTATACTTCTAACCTTAGTCATACTATTGGAAACTTTAAGCATGCTTAATATTACATTCTTCTAAAATAGAAAGGTTCAAAGCCATATAAAGTTACCATGGCTTACTACCTCTTCAAGTAAGAGCCAACTCCCTTCCGTTGCCCTTGGATGTTGAAGGCCCTGGGATTTGTTTAAATATTATGGTAAGATTCTTAGAGAATCTTAGTAGTAATTGCAGGCACTATCAACATAATACATTGCAAATTAAGCTGCATGCATGCATATTTTAACTTTATGTTCATACTATGGCAAGGACATATCATGATAAGCATTCATAGCACTCAACATAGTATAAGCCAAGGCATAAATTGCATGGAGGCAACATTATATAACATAACATTCTCATCCACCTCATAGCATAAGAAGTTAGCAAGACACATAGCCATAATCATACAAAGCAAGGTGACACTCTAATATAATGGATTGCAAAGCTACCTTGAATGCTTCCTTCCTTTTTGAACTCTTTCCTCTTGACTAGATCTTTGCCCTTTTGTTGTGTATAGCCTATAGGCAACCAATGACACAATATTAAGTATCATTGCAACTTCACAGCTAAACATAACCCCTTAAACCCCTTTTTCTTAGTTTTTAGGGTTGATTTTTCTAGCTTTGATTCTTGAACTTTCTTGGGTCTTTCCTACATAATTTTTCATGTAGAATTCAATTATCAAATTAGTTTTATGAAAATCTAATTCCTACCCTACTAACTTGATTTGACTGAACTCCATAAATAATCATAGGGAAAAGGATTTTCAACAAAACTAACATGTAATCACTTAATCCTTAACCTTTAACCATGCTTAATCTTAACCATACGTCATCCAAACCATTTCCTATCATTTTAATAAAATTTGGGTAGCACTTTCCCTTAGGAAAATGACTTTCCATCATCATCAAAATAGTATAAAACCAACATACAACCATTATAACTTGAAATAGAAGAGTTGTAGAAGCTTATCTTGCTTCCAAATGATTTCCTCTCACTAAAACTCTTCTCTTTCTCTCTCTAAATGAAATTTTGCAAGAGATTCCCTACTTGAAAGGTCTTGCATGAAGTGAACATGTGGGGGGATATTTATAGGCTTCATATTTTCATTAATTCCACACATGTCCTTCTTGCATAAGACTTAATCTTGGCCTTCCATTTTTTACCTCTTTCCACATGTACAAATCTTAGGCTATGTAGCTTAATATGTTGACACTTGGATGGTGAGTCACTAGAGCATATGTCACCTCTTCTTATCCATTAAGATTAATTAGGCTTTAATCAAGGTTAACTCTCTTAATTCCTTAATTAACTTGGCTAATTACCCTTCTAGAAACTTTTGACTTTTCAAAGGTAGACGGTTGAATCCTAGCCATCCAATGAACCATGTTTGCCATGTTTCAAGATCTTATGAAAGATGAGTTAACCATAATCATCTTTACTTTTCCCTAATTAGATTTTAATCTAACTTGATTTATTATTTTATTGTCCTTTTTCTTTTGATTTTCCTTTTTTCCCTTTTCTTGGCCAATTCAGGCGTGACATGTGTCCTTGTTAATCTTAGAAAATTTTACCACCCTGCTTGTTCTAACTGTCCACTGAGTTTTAATATAATATTAGTTTATTTTATCTGATAGCTGAAAAATTCTAGTATCTCATAATTCTTATATTAGCTCACCATGAATTATATCTCAGTAAAGAAAACTTTCCTTATTATTTCATAATTTTTCTCCCCTTGTAACTCTTTAAATTGCTGTTTCTGTAAAAAAAAACAATCTACCGATATTAATTCAGCTCTAAATTCAATTAAAGCTAACCTCCTTATCAATTAAGGTTGGAAATAATTTTATAAATCTTTATAATTCCTAAATGAATTTGTTGTAATTTTCATAATTTTCTAAGATCTCTAGGTATTTTTAATAATTAATATTGGCTAATTTTTCCTAGTTTAGCCAAAATATTAATAATTAAAATAATTTTTAATAAATTATTTTCAGCCTGTATTTACTTCCTAGACCTCAAATACCATTCTACATTATTAATTCTATTTTCCATGATTTACTAGAAATTTTTAGGATTTTTAGACACTAATTATGATAATGCCCTTTATAGACCAATCATTTTAAAAATGTTTGGTCCTTTTATAGTTTTCACTTCAATTGTTATGCTGTTTATCTATCTTTTATCTCACCTAGCCTTGGTTAACCCTAATTCCTTCATTAATCATGCTAAAGATATCAGGGTATTACATATTTCCCTATTTCTAGGTTAGAAATTTTGGGATGTTACATTTCTACCCGCTTAAAATAAATTTCGTCCTCGAAATTTTAATACATACCTCAAGTGAAGAGCTCTGGATATTTGTTCCTCATCTCATCTTCCTTTTCCCACGTGTTCACTTCTTGATTTAGATCTTTCCAAATCACTTTGACCAAAGGAATTCTCTTGTTCCTCAACTGCTTAACTCTCCGGTCCACTATTCATTCTGGTCTTGCTTCAAATATCAGATTGTTCTTTAGCTCAATCTGATCATATTCTAGCACATGCACTGGATCCGGATTGTACTTCTTCAATTGAGAAACATGGAAGATGTTATACAACTGACTCAAATTCAGGGGTAAGGCCAGTCGATAGGCTATTGGTCCTACTTTTGAGAGAATTTGGAATGGTCCCACATATTTAAGCGTCAACTTTCTTGCTTTAATGGATCGTCCCACAACAGTAGTTAGAGATACTTTCAAGAATATATGGTCCCCAACCTCAAATTCTAACAGCTTTCTCCTACTATCAGCGTAACTATTCTATCTACTTTGAGTCGTGAGTAACCTCTATTTGATCTATTTAATTTGTTTGGACGTACGATCCACTATGTCTGGATCCTAAACTTTTCTCTCTCTGAGTTCTGTCCAACAAAGTAAAGATCTACACTTT